TTTAGGGTTTAGGGGTTAGGACTTTAGGGCTGTGGGGTTTAGGGTTTAGGGTTGGGAGTTTAGGGTTTTAGGGTTTCGGAGGGCTGTCCAGAATTTAGGGCTTAAGGTCTAGGGAAGTTTAGGGGTTTAGGGTTTAGGTTTTAGTGCGGAAGGTTTAGGGTTTGGGGGGTTTAGGGTTTTAGGGTTTTATAAGGTTCAGCAGCTTCGGATCGAGCAGTCTCTAGTCGAGCTCCTACCCAGCCACCCAGGAACCCTCAACATTGAGAAACCATAAATTCTTTGTATCAATCCTAGAGCTTAGATCCTACATCCGAAAACCTATATCCTGAACCTTTAAACCCTGCAGCTCAACACCAGGATAATTATAAGCCCTATGATACGAACTCTATGCCCTGAACCCTAAACAGTATGCCTGAAACCTAAACCCTGAACCCTGGCTCCTGAACCCTAAACCCTGACCCCTAGGCCCTGAACCTTAAACCCCGAACCCTAGGCCCTGAACCCTGAACCCTGGGCAGGCCGGGCCATATTCCAACGAACCCGGGCGCTGCGTTGGAAAATTGTGATTTCTTCGCCAGCCAGGGGCCCGGCTTGTTGGATTATGGCCCGGCCTTCTTTGGAATCTGGCTCCAAAAACACCAAAAGGACCATTTTCCCATGAATGAGTTCAGGTTTAAATACATATGAGAAAGAGTGTTTAGGGTTTAGGGTTTGAGAGTTCAGGGGTTTAGAGCTTTGGGGTTTAAGGAATATTTTGTGGGTTTCTAATTCAGCAGGCTACGATATGTCGGTTATTCCTTGTTGTTTATATCTCTTTTGTGGGTTTCACTAATCAAGAAGGCAACTGAAGGGTGTTATAATAAGGCGTATATTGCTTTAAATGAACCATCGTGTCCCCCGGCTGCGCTTCTGGACTTCTCTATACCTGTGCTTTTGGCGTCTCCTGCGGCTGTCCTTTGTCTGTACTCATAGTGAAGCTTCTTCAAGGGTACGATCAGAATGCTTGTTCTTACTGCTTTTATTGTGTGGCTCCTCAAGTGTACTATAAAGCCGGCGCCCCTTATTTTCCCTGGCGTTCTCCGTGCTCTTCGCGGGTTATTCTTGTTTGAGGTCTCTTGCTGGCGGGGCTGCGGGGGTATATGTGTCGAACACTTTCATCAAAACGCTGCATTTTTGAGGGTTTTGGCCCCTGGCATGATTCTTTTCTATGGCCCGGAGAATAGATTACAATTTAAAGGACCAGGCTTGCCACGTAAAATAAAGTTGAACGCAGCCCAGATCACAAGTGAAAATATAAAGCGCTGACCGACTATCGGGGTCCTGCGAGAGCTTCTACAAGGGTGCTATTGGGGGCTCCTCCGTTTCCTGTAGAAACCAAGCCTACTGGATTTCCGTGTACTATAAGGGCAGAGTAAGGCTTCTCACAAATGCCGAAAGAAGGGCTTTCTATACGGTTACTATCAGGCTGTGCCGTTGGTTTGTGTTACAGCGAACCCCAGAAAGGCGGAACATGGATTTAGGATGATTAGTGCTAGCATCCCTTACATTTTACCTGAAGGGTGCCCGGATAATGATGTTCCAACTTTCTGGCTTCTACTGTAGGATTTAAGCGTAAGGTTTATTAAGATTTCCCACGGCCATTTTGCTGGGTTTCTCTAAGAGAACTGAGGGTTTTTATTGGGTGCGAGCAGGGTTTCTACAAAGGTTTCTAGAGGTGTGCTCTAGGATTTGCTTGTTTATTTGTCTGTTTAGATCCGAGAAAGCTGCTATAAGGCAGGTAATTCGTCAAAACTTGAACGCTCGAACTGCAAAGCCATAGCTCCTAAAGCCATAGCTCCTTCCTATTGGAAAGTTCTCTAACTAGGGTGCCTGTTCAAGGTCGGCAATATAGTACGGCACCCTTATGATAAGGACCCCCAAGAAAGCAGCTGGCATCCGTGCGCGAGTTGCTTTGGCTGGCAGCGACCAGAATTGGTGGAGCACCCGTTCCCACGACCGTGGAATCCTCCTACGCTTCGATGTTCAGGTCAAACAACTATTGCTCCAAAACACGGGCTGCAGAGTTTTAGGCCACCCAGGCTACCCTGAGACGTAAGGCAACTCCCACCGAAATCATTCAACAGAAAGCTTGCCAACACTGGCTCGAGAGGGACCTGGCCACAACGATGGGGAAGCCACAGGTCATGCAAAGCCAACTTCCGAATGAAAGGGCTGTACAGCTTAAGCTGCGTCTCCAAGACTGCATCCGAAAGCCCAGCGTTTGCAGCCTTCTCCCATGCCCGTGCCTCCGTCAGCTCATGGAAAAGCATTGCGCACATGTGCCGGAGCCCTTAAAGCACAGACTATGGACTTCAGCAAAGGCCTTCCACTGCGACAAACGAGCAAGAGGATAAGCATTGTCCAGTTTCAACCGAGCAAAAGCTGCTTTGGCCTGCTTCAGCGACAACTCCCCCGGGCGTAGAGACCACGTTCTCATGCCCAACACTTCCAGCCCTCTGTGCTGATTTGCAATGACGCGCGCACATGGAGGGGAACGCAGGTCGGGCTCCAGCTCACAATGACGGTGCGCACGCCAGTCTGCATGGCCAAGAATGCTGGAGGGCATGAAAGCCACACACTCTTGTGCTTGTTCTCTGCCCTCCAGTTTCTCCAGCGTACCAGTCAACAGCGCATGGGCCATCGACAAAACGTTGTTGCGGGTCCGGGTAGCGGGGTTCCCGGAAATCGACGGCCCGGCATGCCGGGCTTGCCGGACCTCGCCGCTCCGGCTTCGCCCTCTTGCGCCTCTACAGCCGCTAGCAACACGTCAAGCGTCAACTCCAAACGGCTGGCGACTTCTACAGCTACAACGGCTCCTAAACCTACTCCTTCTCTTAGCCGACTCCTACACCTCCTCCTATTACTACGACCACTACTACTCCAACTACTACTCCCAAAATGGCTTCGGCTTCCTTCATGACTACAAAGCTATTCCTAATAGGAGTTCAGGGTCTAAGGGCTTTAGGATTGACAGCTCCTGAACCCTACAGTAGAAGCCCAAAATTGGAAACCCAAGGTAGCCTCAATTTCTGAATCCTTATAAGAGCAATGCAAAGGAATCCTCGAATCCGGCTTCCAAGTCGTTTTGGTGGCTTTACTCTAAACCGCAAGAGCCCTCGCCCTGCTTTGGCTCCTTGGAGACCAAGATGTTCGCCGGCTTCACATCCCAATGGACAATGCCCGCCTTGGATGCACGAGTCTACTGTAGCAGCCTTGGCAGGTAGACCACGGTCTTGCGGTTTAGGGTTTGGGGTGTAGGGTTTAGCGTTTAGGGTCACCTTGGGCTAGATTGCGGTATAAACATATCTAGCGACGATAAGCGGACATCATAGGCGATTATTCCTACAGTTAAGAAAGACTACACCCTGCATCCTATTATTGCAAAACTGCCTAGCCGTAGCACAGGGTCGATGTAACCTTCAACAGGGTTTTGGATAAGCATAATATGGACTGACAGGGGCAGTACTAATGATTATTCCGACACCGACATTAAATTTGCAGACGAGGCGCTTCATGAAGATCTGCCAAGCCTTTCGAGAACAGCAGGTATCAAAGGTTCTAAGGTTCCCAGCTCCTACCGCCCATGTCGCAAGACAAAAAGCGCCCTAAGTCACCCCACCCCCGCAAAAGTCAGCCCACCCCAAGGGGATGCGTCGATCGCCGAAAGGCGCCCCAGGCAAAGTGAATCCCCAAGGTGACGCGTCTGAGGCACGTTTTGCAACATGCGCCAAGACAAGGAAATGCGGATAGAAGACTCCCAGACACTGAAACCTCAAACCCCAACACATCAATAAATGCAATTTGCCCCTCAAGCCCTGAAACCGTCAATTTTGGACCCAGGGCGCCTAGTTGGGGTGATCCTGAAATTGGAGCCTTAACTTCAACCGAGTCAACAGACATATCAAAGTCTTCAAGTGGAGTGCTACACGCTAAAACACCCTCAGCGAGGCCCTCAAAACTGCCCAAGAACCCTTTTCTTTGTGGCACAAGGGGGTTTAGGGCTTAGGGAAAGGGGGGTGCGGAGCCCTTACCCACACCTTGCATCAGCTGGCGGAAGAGCTGCGCAGCAGAGCCCATGCCTCTCCGGTGAATAACCCAGAATCCCCATGCCCTAAACCCTAGACCTAATACCTACCCGTGGCCCAACAAAAGGCCTACATTTTTTTTGGAACTACATATCAAAACCATAATAAGGAACCCTAAAAAGGTATGTCTTTTCGGCTGCAGGTAATCCCTAAACTTCGTAAACCCTTAAAGTCTAAACCGTAAGACCAGTGAGGAGTCGGGTCCCTAAAACGATAGTACTGGCTGTTGCGGCAATTCGCAATGGCAGTTTACATGGGCTCTGCCGAAGAAGGGTTTGGGATGTGAGGTTTCCTTAAGGCTCACGACAGCCCAAAAGCGTGTACTACAAGTATGGTCTCCGCACACAAAAACTTGCAGACATGAATCTGCACAGTGTAGGGCCTTCATAAAGCAGAACGGGTTTGGGAGGTTTTTCTCCAGTATTCTACAATACCTATAGTCTCCGATGTAATTCCTTTTTTTTCGCTTGACCATTTTTATATTTAGGATCCAAAAGCTAGCCCCAAAAAAGAACTACAAGGAAGACTATAGGTACTCAATATTACAATTACTATAAGGAGCTCTACGGGAGAGCATGAAACGGCAATTGCATCATGCTTTTATATTCGCATTAGAGTCTCTCTCTCTCTCTATAGATATACATATA